CTAGCTTACTTTTTTCTACTTTCATTCTCTTTGACTCCATGAAGGCAACATTCAGTCTTTGTTCAGTATATTCATGAAGAATATCTTGTCTTGCTGCAAGCATTTTCAGGGGGTTTCTTGAGGACTGGACTCTCCGCATAGGCCTAACTGCACGTTTGTGCTCTGCTACAGAAGATGTCAACCTGAAAAACAAATAGTGTTTATAATCATCATCTAATTTTTCAGTCAGAATCATCTAACAAAAAGAAATCAGGATCAGTTCGTCAATACAGGCAGGAGCCTGATCTCAGAAGAAATGGATGTGCCCAGTTCTAAGATACCTACAAGATGACTTAGAGCTGAACATTTTGAACACTGCCTTTGTGTCTGCACTCAAAACAATGAGGGAAAAGTAATTCTTACTTTGGTGCATAAGGATCAAAGATGGCATCGAAGTCCTCATCAAGGTCCAAAGGCACTGAGGAGGAAGGGAAATCCACATGGCGATAAAATTTGGAAAATGTTTCATCATCATCCAGCTTCATAACCTCTTTCACAGATCTTCCTGTAACTGTCAGCACTGTCTCTTGCATCCCAGAAACTGCAGGAAAGAAACACCTCACCCAGTAAATAATCATACTAGAGTTTCTCAGTCTAGAAAAGGTAAACATGGCTTCCTCACCCAGTAAATAATCATACTAGAGTTTCTCAGTCTAGAAAAGGTAAACATGGCTTGTTTGGTAATTGTCTGAGTAATTTGTTTTTCAGTGTGGTGGTGGTGTTTTGTTTTTGTGTTAGCATTTTTTAATTGATGGTAGAGAAGTGTGTTCATAAAGAATACTGAAACAATGTAACTGCTACTCATATGCAATAATCATTATACAAAATGGTAGGGAAATATGGCTAAATGTAAACTTCAACACTGTAAAGGAACTGCTATAGTATGATGATGTAATCATTTTAGGGCCATGTATATTCCACCTTGCCTCCAACTGTGTAAATCCTGCCTTTGAAATGATCTAGAATCACAAGTGGAAGTCACTACCTCAGACTAGTGAGTGTGGCACAGTAATTATCCTGCACTAGTGCCTCCTGTACTGAAATGTGAACACATTTGTTACACTACAAATTACATAAAGATTTTTGTCTTACAAATGTAGGACAGAAATATGAGATGGAAACACCACAGAACTGTAGAGAGCTTCATAAATAGCCAACAGGCTGTACAAGGAAGCTGATGAGCTGCTACAGAGTCAATTTTCAAAAAAGCAGGAAAATGAATGAATTGTGCTTGGGAGCAGCTTAGTATCCTATTTTGATTTTAATAGGACATTTAAAGATATTTCACTGTATATGACAATATGGTTTAGACTGGCTGCATGCTCTTAGGAAATTCTGCCCTACAGAAAGATATGTACAATGTTTAGAGAACTGCATAGAGAATTAAGAAAGTTATTTAGGCATCCATGACTTATTCTAATGTACATTTGTAATACAACTGCAAAAGGCTTTTCTTCTTAAAATTCAGCAAAGACTGAATCACAAAAATAAAATTATCATTAACTGCAGTCTGAGTAAAGAAATGCTCAGTTTCTGACACAAGATATTTTAACTAAGGGGCACTTCAATCAATTTACTAAAGTCAGAAGATGGCTACACTGCCAGCCTTTGTAACATTACCAACCTTTGTTATTCAGCCTTCCCAAGAATGACTCCAACTTGTCAAGCTTCATATCGGATTCCA